GGAATGAACAACTCTTCCCTTCCTATTAGTACTCAATCTTCAAGTTATTAGAGCAGGATCCCGATAGTCGTACTTCACGTCTCACATTTTCTCTCCAGAAACTGCAATCTGCTGTTCAAACCTATCCAACACCCTCCATACATCATCACCTGGCTCTTGCTCTCGCCCGTCCTGGCCCTTCCCAAGATTTGCAAGAGGCTATCGTACATGCTCGCTCAGCTGTAGAAGGGGAAGTCAGCGAAGTCAGACACTGGCATTTGCTCGGCCTTCTATTGGCTGCCACAGGCGACTGGAGAGCTGCCAAGGGTGTACTGGAGTTTGGTATCGATGCCGCTGAAGCCGAACTAGGTGAAGAAGATACCGAACATCGAACTCCTGCCGAGCATGCGAATGGCAACCCTAACAACCTCAGTATTCGTGATTTTGCGACAGTTCGCTCCGGTTCTATACCCAATGGTGAACCTGTGGTCAACGGCCACACAACAGAGGCAGTAGAACGAACAGGTCCTATCCTAAATCCAGAAGATACAACCCTTCCTCCATCTTCGCAGCTGTTACAATCAACGTCAGACCACCCGAATTCGTCCCGTCACCAACGCTTCGAACAAGCACTCCAGACTCGCATGTCCTTGCTTGCACTAACAGAACACGTGGAAGGAGCGGAAGGTGTCGGCGATAAATGGCTTGAAGTATTCCAGTGGTTCCGTGAGAAGAGGGGTGTAAATGCTGATGACCGTAAGTTGATTAAGATAAGTATCACTTGCCACTGCGCTAATTTGACCTCTGATGGGATGTAGGACGACGCTCAATCGACAGCCGACGGGTCTCCGAAGACACTCGACCTCCGTCTGACATGCTTTCCATGCAACTTCCCCAACCCACAATAGCAGTCCCTCAGAGTATCGAGGAAACAAACACTATCCACGAATCTCAACAGACCGAGCTCCCCACTCCGATACCCATTACTGTGACTCCTGCCTCTCCCGGACTTAATGGACCTGAATTCCCACAGAATGTAAATATATCCCTTCAAGACCAACTTAACACTTCTTTGGACAACGCTAGTACGGAGAAGCGATCTACCTCACTCGACGAGAAAGACCGAGATGTTTCGCGAGGCAAAAAGGTGAAAGACGCACTGAAGACGGTGTCACATAAGAGTCAAGCGAGGATCAGTACGATATCCAAGAAGATCGGGCACGGGGTAGGTAGACGGCCAAGCTTGAGTCTCAAACGGACTAGCTCTGCACCAGGTGAGACACTCGTCACGTCGTCTTGCTACATCTCAATTAATTTGCGGGTCTTATAGATTTCCATTCCGCACTGAGCCAGTCATCCTATCAAGCTTCTTCGATCCATCTCAGGCAATATCAAAGTATCCATGCTTCACAGCAAGACTTGGGTTTGCTTGAAGTGCCTCCACCTCCACCCTCCCCTTCACCAACCGTCTCAGAAGGACAAAAGCGAAACCAGCGTGCTGCCAAAGATAGCAGGTTGCTCAGTGACTTATGGCTGATGTCTGCGGCGATTTTCAGACGTCTAGGCAAGATTGAGCAAGCCCGCGGTGCGATACAGGAAGCGGAAGTACGAGACGAAGATAACCCGGCAGTCTGGGTACAGGTATGCTTTCGTTCTTTGTTCTTCGGCACTCGGTGGCTCACAGCATGTTTGCAGCTTGGTCTGTATTACTCCGCACTGAACGACCACCGGAAGGCGATTGAAGCTTTCCAGAAGTCTCTTTTCCTTTCTCCAGATCACATTGCAGCGACTATTCATTTATGCAGTCTTTACTTGTCACCTATGTCTCACTTGACTGAAGGCTCCAAAGAACCCGATAAAGCTAACGTGGACCTTGCAGCTGGTCTGTTGTCTGATCTTACAAAGGGTCAAGGGTGGGATGTACCTGAAGCTTGGTACTTCTTGGCAAAAGCGTACAAGCTACAAGGTCGTCGGGATCGTGAAAGAGAATGTTTGAGTTTCGCACTGAGTCTCTCAGAGACTAGAGGTGTTAGGGATATTGGTGCTGCACTGGGATGGTGTCTATAACGTAACGTATGAGGCGTTTAATTTATACACACAGTGGTCGAATATGCTAAATATGGCGACATGTAGACTTTTACTAATACTCTTTGGAGATCACCCACTCCGCGAATATACCACAGACCTACACATAATACTGGCAGCTTACACGTTGCATGTAACCCTTTCACAATCACTGTTGACCTCGCGCAGTGGATGTGGCTCACTGTAGATTTCTATTCTCACGAGTACCTCACGAATGCACTATAGCCACTCGTGTAAGTCCCTTTGCTATCAGCCTTGACATACTTGACACCCTTGAGCCACACGCATGCGGCGCTCGTGTCTTTGTGTAATTTATCCATCAGCCCTGCGGCAAGCGTTCAAAGAACAAGGCTGATCCTTGCATTAGGTGCGAGGCTTAAGTGCTCAGGGTTCACCCTTGTTTTCTTTGTTCACCCATTGCTACCATACACTCAAAGGTTGGTATTTAAAGCCTCCTAATAGTCTTTATCGTCCAACATACCTTTCTCTACAACTGTCATTATACCTCACCTACCGTTACTCTTCGTCGATTGAACCAGAGTAATCGAATAACCTACATAAGATGCCTGAATATGCAAACAATCTCAACAATGCAACCCGAACTAATCGTGCGTACATTACTAAACATTCCTACCTAACTTTTACTCACATCGTACCTCGTAGCGGTAAAGCGAGAGGAGACGACGATGGTGGGGAACAAATTTTACAGTCCTAGACCGAAGAAGACCGGTTCTACGGGTTTCGCACTCTCTTCATGGACCATCGAGCCTCTGATATTCGAGAGGAAGGACCCTTCCAAGAATATAGTTCACATCGAGTATAGTCGAAAGAAAGTCTCTGAATATCTCGAAGATATCAGTGGTCATGTCAAACTCTCTCGTGATCATGGTTTGATTACGCGGAAAGATGAAATTATCGATCTGCGGACACCCCCTCGTAATAATCAAAGGACCGTTAAAGCCACTCGTAGCTCGGGCTCGCGTGCGCACAAGTCCCCCCTTCCCGATAGCCGCGAGGCCACAGAAGTTGAAGTTGAAGTGTCGACATCCAGAACCGGTCGGACATCTAGGAAAAGGGCTCGTGACGAGGATGATGAAGATGGCGGGGATCATCATAGGCGGGCTTCGGGCTCGCCCTCTACGGGTTCCAGGACACGGAGGAAGCAGAACTAGGGTTTGGGTTTGACGGGGAATAAATCACGCTTCTGTTATGGGCTTCGGTAATGCGATTTCTATCTTATTACAATGCGCGAGTAGATCTTGCTTCCCTTAAATTACTCTCATACGGCTTAGGGATACATGTTTGAATAATTCATAACCTATTTAAAAAATGTGGTCACTGGTTGATGCGCTCTTGTTGAGGAGTTTCAGTACCCTTCACTTTATCTTTCAGCGAACGGCCTATCCAATATCATCTTCTGAGTTCTCAATATTGCGATGGTAAAGTATTGGGTCTTATATTTTAAGGCATATAATCGCATCGAGTAGATACAGGTAGATAGGTATATTCCGGACTACAGAATCGAGTGTCCCTCGATCTACAACACTTGCTAAATTTGGCTCAATGACTAAACAGGCGCCCAAAGGAAGTGGCTCACGGTGAAACTGATTCAATACTCCTCCAAGTTAACTTCGACCGTTCACTGTATTCGCCTCTCGATCCCTTGCTCCAAAATGTCTAATACGATTGCACTGTATGTACACAAGCCTAATCATGAGCTTATTTCTTCTAAGTATTTGTTAGCTACCCTTTGTCGAACTTCACCTTTAGGTATGGCGTTCGTATCCCTAATCCAGCGGAATAACGACTAACATTCGATGCACGCTGGGTTCAGTACCAAGGAGGCACAGCCTGAAGAAGATCCCTCTGTCTCTGCTCGTCTACAACGCCTACAAAACAACTATGAAGACTATGGAATGCGTCACACAGTCGAGGGTATCCTGGTCGTTCATGATCACGGACACCCACATATTCTCATGCTCCAAATCGCGAACGCGTTCTTCAAGCTGTATGCTATAGAAATAAGTACCCTGCGACGTATACTGATTGTCTCTACACTTATAGCCCTGGTGACTACCTCAAACCCGGTGAAGATGAGGTCGAAGGACTAAAGAAGCGTCTGGACGACCGCCTCGCCCCGCCCGCTGACTCGCGGCAGTTCAACGCGTCTCACGGTGTCGATAATGACTGGGAGATTGGAGACTGTCTTGCACAGTGGTGGAGGCCAAACTTTGAGACATTCATGGTGCGTCTCCTCTGTCTACTTGTTGACCTCTCATAGCGGAAGTATTCACGTACGTTACATGTATTTATCACAAATTATGTGTTACTCGCATACAGTATCCATTTATCCCGGCACATATCACTAAACCGAAAGAATGCAAGAAACTATTCTTAGTCCAGATGCCCGAACGAAGTATGTACTTTCTCTTTCTCATACCTATTTGCCGCTATGAGACAGTGCATGAATTGACCACTCAAAACCTTGCTCCGTAAACGTTATAGAGGTGCTCGCTGTACCGAAAAACATGAAGCTTCTTGCTATTCCTCTGTTCGAGCTTTATGATAATGCAGCTCGATATGGACCCCAACTGTCTGCTATCCCCCATTTGTTGTCGCGGTAAGTACGCAGTATGCGATCATGTTGCTCACAATATTTAACTCACATCTATTCTAGTTACAATTTCATTTATCAGTAAAAATCGTGCTAAGAAGCCTCTCCCTGTCCCTTGTTCTGTCTTCTGTTCTGGCGTTTTTGTGACTGTTGTCATTGAAACTGGCATGTCTTGTAGTATAGCTTGAATGGCATTGTTCTTGTCACCCTGAACCCATGGCCTTGCCACGTAGCAAGAGAAAGGCCTAATGGTCTCATGTATATCCCCAAACTATCTATACATGCATTACGCCGGACAACAAAAAGCGAATTCGAGATGGACGGGCCTGGCCGGGAATTGAACCCGGGACCTCCTCCAAGTTGCTCATAAAGCCCTAAGAAGGAATCATACTACTAGACCACCAGGCCACATCAAAGGGCGCTTGTGGCAGGCCATGAGACTACTGACGGGGTAGCTTTATAGCGGGATAATTAACAATTACTTATAATTATCACTAACACCACAGCGATAAATGAGGTACTTGTCTTTCGGACACTCAGTTATACCTTCATGCTTTTGGTCTTCCAGCTTAGTAAATGCGCTGCTGATGATAAGATCATACTTACCACTTATGTCACGGTGATGACTAAGAATTCTGTACAATCTACCGGTCAATGATGACTCGGAGTTTTTCTACCTTTGACTGCGATATAAATAGATATATTCAACTCATTGTCATAGCCTCTGTGAATGTAATAACTGTGTGACTCGAGAGCCAAACGCTTGTTTCGTTCATTGACTTAACCCGAAACTTTGGGAAGTAAATAAACCTATAAGGGGAAGGTGAGTCGCTGAATTTAGAAAGTGTTTACCTTGTTTCGGAAACGGGCAATGCATTGTAAATAGACGCTGGATCCTTGTGGCGTCCAACAGCCACAAAGGGAGATCATCTTTTGCCTTCCATATGCTCCTCCTCAAAAACTTGCAATCTATTCTGGGCACAGTTTGACCGCTTTGACAGACCTTTGTTAGCTGACGTTCACTCTGAAGTCGGTTACCGACGGCAGTGAGTGAAGAGATGCGGTAACGTAACCTTATTGTCCCGGACAATAGGATTTTCGACTTGGTCACCCCCACGCGCATGACACTATTGTCCTCGGCTCGCGAAATGGGATAATGGCCAATAAGGTGTCCTGTCCTTAAGCACTCACAATAGACTTTACTCTTTGACATCTTTGTCTGATCTCACGGGGACATGTGTCGTGACGGAACATCCTGGGGCATATATATAGAGCTCAGCCCAGTGGCTCTCTCCTTCACCATCTCCACCCCCCTCTCTGTTCTGTGAACGTTTACGACCTCTCAGTCCTCTCTAGATCTACAGGCTCTTGAAGGGTCCTCTTGCATTTGTCTCTCTATCACTCTCAACTAGAACTTGAACGTTTAAACAACCCTTCACTAATTCAACGAACGACACTCACGAAGATGAAGTCTTTCACTACGCTCTTTGTCTCTACACTTGCACTTCTCCCTTACGTCTGCGCACACGGATTCGTGAGCCAGCTCATCATTGACGGAAAGGCCTACGAGGGCAACGACCCAAACCAGGGCGAGACTCGTACGTCCTCACAATCTTACACATTGTTCTTTGTGGCTCACCATCTTACAGAACCTAGTCCTATTCGTCTTATTGATGACCCTTCACCTGTGAAGGGTGCCAACAACCCCGCTGTCAACTGTGGCCCGAATGCGAAGATTGCTCAAGTTGTTGCACCTGCTAATCCGGGCAGCAACATGACTTTCTCCTGGCACAGCGGCGATGATGCTAAGCCCGACTGGCCCCACGACACTGGCCCCATGATTACCTACATGGCGGAATGCACCGGTACTACCTGCGACAAGTTCGACGCCGCAAACGCCAAGTGGTTTAAGATTCACGAAGTCGGAAGACAACCGAATCAGGTTGATTGGGTTCAGAAGCTCATCAGTAAGTTCTCTCCCTTACAAAACAGTAGTATGTATTTGACTGATCTAATCTCGACATTTAATAGTGGGTGGTGGAAGCTTGTCGGTTTTCGTTCCTAAGGACCTCAAGGCAGGTGACTACCTGGTCCGACACGAAATCATCGCCCTCCACTTGGCCAAGAATCCAGGAGGTGCCGAGTTCTACCCCTCTTGCTCTCAGATTAGAGTTGGTGGCAATGGTTCGAGCGTCGCAAACAACACTGTCAGTCTCCCCGGAGCTTACAAGGACACCGACCCTGGTATCTTGGTGGATGTGCGTATTCATGACAGCTCTGCATATTTCTTCTGTATCTAATCTCAACAATATCTACAGGTGTTCAGCAACCCCACAGACCCCTATGTCTTCCCTGGTCCCCCTGTTGCCTCTCTCATCTCCGCTTCTGGCGCTGTCTCTAACGCCTCCAACGACACCGATCCTTCCTCAACTGCGTCTTCCGCCTCGTCTGCCCCCTCCGCCACGGCTTCTCCCACGAACAAGTCATGCTACATGATGGTCGACGAGAGGGGCATCAAGCGTCGCTACAGCCGTATCATGCGTAGCGTCCTTCCTCGCTTCTAAGTTGATGATCATCTCTTCCTGTCGGGTTGTGGCTACTGGTTAGCATAACTCACAACGGAAGAGGTTTACGATCGTTCATGGACTCATAATGACCCTCCATCAACGCTATTGTTGTATCACATTGTTGTGTATCGCTAGTATCGGGTTTCGTGTAGCACTTAATCTACTTGTGCACTATTATCTAGGTTATTTCCCCAATATTATAATATATGGGCTCTTTCACTCACATCATGTCTTGAGAAAAAGTTGAGTCCTGTGGGTGAATCATATCCCATTGTCCAAGTACTGCACATTGTATTCTCCACCATTTTATCCTGTCCGACCCGAGTTTAACCTTGAGATGCAACATTCTGTCATGTCGGCTTTCATCTTATCAGATAAAATCTTGATCTTATCGCACTTGCCAAGGACACAGGCTAAAACCATGGCGTAAAACGATGATGTTGGCTGAGCAGGTACGCAACCACCACCATGACGCCACTATCTAGGTTTCAAATTTCGGACAGCAAAGTCATCGGGACTGCGGATTTCGGATAGGTTCACTGTCAAGTGAAGCGTAAGAGTCAGACAGCTTCCAAGGCGGCATCTTCACACTCCAACTTGAACCTTCCAACCGACCATCCGCGCGTTGTTTGTTTTTCCCATACAAATTGACTTTATTGGCCGTTGACAGGTATCATCGAACACGATCGTTTCTAGGTGCATATTCAGCATTAAACTTGAAACTGAGAACGCACGAAAGTATTGCGTTCGCGACTACATATCCTTCTAGTTGCAGGTTAAATGCACTACCACGTTCACATACCGCTCATAGAGCGTATATCAGTCTCCTTCCACTCCCCACGACAGTGCGAAACATACATATGTTCCAACTCTAAGGTTAACTCCGAGGTGATATTCACGTGTTTTAATCCGCTTTGTACGGCTTTTAGGCACCCAATTTGATCCAGTCCGATCTAGTACGATGTGATCTCCATGCCGCCTCGAGAACCAATATCAAGATTGGAAACGTAGATCAGAAAAGGATGTGCATATTTCTGACATTCGAACTGACTTTGGAAAGCCCTCGAACGATCCTGACCAAAGCGTACCTGAACATGATTTGTGCATTCAACAAAGGAGACTTGAAGAACCGGTAGCGGAGGCTACAAACCTCCGTAGTTCTCAGTACCTTTCTTCGCGTCGCAAAAGCGAAATGTATGTGGGAGGTGAGTTGCAATGGATTGAGAGTTTGTTTTCTCTAATATCAAGGGTTATATACTTGTGTGGCAACCGAAACCACCTCTCATGCCGCCTTCATATGTTTCACATGCGGTTGGGGGGTTCATGGGGGTGAAGTTCTCTCCCATGCGGAGCCCCACCTCGCTATCAAATGTATATTCGTTTCCTCTGGAGGCGTGACAGTGGCATACTCCGTTACAAGGTGTTTCTCTGCTTGGATCTAATCTGGTTTATGGAATCAGCTAAGTCTTCATTCTTGACACAAACCAGTGTCGAAACTGATACTATTTTATTATTTTATTCGCGCGACAAACGGAGACAACCTAAGGCCTTCATGGGTTGATTCAGGTCAGTTCCTTTGTCTCTCTCCGTGTGGCGAAAAATGTACCTTTCATTAAGAATGAGTGGCCGAACCATGGGACGTCGTAGACAATAATCCATCCGATGCACTTAGTCACATCTCGTCGAATAGCTCCGGGGATTGCCCAGGTCAATCTCTTCGTGCATCACAGCTTGAGACTACCAGAATCTCTAGTTGCGCCCCCAGTGCTCTTCGGTGTTTTTACGCTGAATGTTCATCTATTGCACCGTTTATAGACTCAATTCAAGTGTTCTATAGCCAATTCAGGTTCATTTTAACCATATGAACTTTGTCAGTACCTGTCACTTTCATCATCTTCCATTCAAAATCCTTGACAGGTCTCTGCAATCACCTCGCAATCGCCTTGGAGGTATCCACATACATATGGGGAACATGATCCGCTTAGTGCATCTTTATGTGTCAGTGAGAATATTGTTTGACTTTCAATGAAAATCGTGGTCCAATTTTGCAATGGTCTTGAATGCTTCCTTGCTCGGTTTGCAATATTCTAGTGGGTCTTGTGCAGTAGACGAACTCGGAATTGCTTCCGAAAGTTCTCAGGAGACGCGTCACGCCCGGCACCATACATTAGCGTGACAGATTGCGTTTTGTCACCGTCACAACTCGCTTTTGGCTCGCTTAGGCGCGGCTCTGGCAAGCTCTGGCAACGTCTTGCGTCCGGCAGCCAGTCTCAGTGGAATCGGATTCAGTGATTCCAAGCATTCCTTGCCCGGCAGATCTCTCTCCGCAAGCGTACTTCTCCGCTTTCTCACTGCAATTCCATCTGTCAAATTTTGTGAAACATGACAGCGTGTTATGTAATGGAGGACCCTTAGTTCCCGCACACAAACGCCACAAAGGTCAGTCTTAATGAATCCCGATTGTGTCTCGACGATTCTACTGCGGGAGGTTGAAAACGAGTACTCTTTCTTGAGGTGTTGTTGAGTTGCGACCTCGAGAGATGGGACATCAAGCTACATGTGGTTGTTGAGGTGTATGGAACACTGACGCATGTATCTTCCCTGTTAAGCAGTATGTTCAGGCACACGCAACATTTGCTTATCCTTCACCACCTTTCCATCATCCATACAAAGTTATCTACTCTCTGATCTACAGAAATAGATCTTGGAACCCTATCCACGTTTCCGTCACAACGGACTCGGAACCGACCTTACACCTCAACCATACTCGTGGGGAGTGGTCGCCGTAAGTCCGAACCCAAGAGTAAAAATCCAATAACGGTAACCTTGCGGTAACCCAAG